AGAAGCTCAGGTGGTGACCAGGTAACATCTGGGCAAGGGGAGGATAAGGTGCCAACATCAGTCCCTTTCTGGGCCTGAGAATGGAGAGAGAGGAGCAGGGGGTGGGGGATGAGTGGGCAGAACCAACAGAGAGAAAGAGAGAGGCGAGGAGGGGAACAAGTCAAATGGGAGGAGCACAGGCAGAAACACGGGGGCCATCAGTGTGTTTGTATTATTGTTTATTTGTGTATCTCATGATGTTTTGATCCATTAAACAGATTGGAAGCCAAGGAGACACAGGGCCTCCCAGGGCGGCCCATTCTCAGAGACAGCAAAGAATTTCAGATGCAAACCAACCCAACCTGAGCCCATATTCCCAGCCTCCCCACCTGCCCCAAATCACCCAGGACCTGGGACCAGACAAAGAGAGACCACGCCCACAGGCCCATCCCCCAGACTGACACACACCAGCTGGTCCTGAAGGGCTCACCCTGCCCTGCCCTGCGTTTCCCATGGGAACCCAATCAAGGCCTTCGCTAGGCTGCCCTGCACCTGCATCTGCTTCCTGAGGAAATCCGGGGCTTCCTGGGCACAGCGGCCCCTCCTCTCAGGAGGTGAAAGGAGTAAAAGTCTTCTCTCCATGGCACTGACTCCCCTTGGCGTCACTCAGTCACTTCCACACACTGAAACCCCAGGGGCACATTGGAGGCAGGTGAGTCAGGAGCTTCCAGGGAGAAGGTGACATTGACGTCCCAGGACAGTCCCTCTAGCCTGGTGTCCACACCTCAGTCCCATCTTGAGAGGAAGGGAGGATCCATCAGGAGCTCTGCCTCCTGTTCCGGGGGCCTCCACACCTGCGGGGCCCACACAGGTGTCAGCTCAGAGACTCGGCCACTTTGGCTCTAACTCCAGGCAGAGCCGGACAGCTCGGCCCCACCTGGACCTCAGGGCCAATCCCTGACCTTCCCCGGGAGAGACAGGCCTGCTCACCTGGTGTAGTAGAGCCAGGTGAGGACGTAGGTGAGGAGGAAGCCAGCCCCCATGAGGGCCCCTCTGATCAGGGTGAAGACCAGGGGCCAGGAGCCCTGCTGCTCCTCGGTCACACATCTGCTGGAGTGCGGGCTGCCTGGGGACGACGGGAGAAAGGTGACGTGTTGGTCAGGACTCAGTCCACCCACAGCCCAACACCTGACCAGGCGGCCGGCCCCACACCTGTCCTGCACCTCACTCTGCACAGAGAGGCTGAAGGAGACGTGCTGGGAGCCCAGCGGGTGCTGAGCCCGGCAGGTGAACTCCCCTCCGCCTCCAGCCCCACATGGGGCAGCTCCAGGAGCCCTGGTGCTGAGGGCTGGAGGGGCTCAGGGCTTGTTCCTCCAGCACCAGCTCAGGTGACACCACCCACTCCCAGGACTCAGTCTGTCCTCTTCCCACCTCCTCCCAGAACCCGCTGTGGGTTCTGTTCAGGCAGGAGATGGAGAGCCCTGTCCTAGCAATCCTCCCTGTCCCCTCTCAGCCCTCTTCTCCCCCAGCTCCACCCTCTCTCTGACCTACTCCTTTCTCCATGGCCTCTGCCCCCAGCAGGCCCTGACCTGGCAGCAGCAGGACAGAGGCGCTCTGGGCTCCATGGACAATCCTGACCTTACAGCTGGATCTGAGTCCCTCACTGAGCCCCACACCCTGGCTCAGGGAGCAGTCAGTCCAGGGCCCCTCTGAACAGGAGGTAACTGCGGGTGGGAGGCGTTGCCATGGTTCCCCTCCAGGAGCCCCGCCCCCAGCCGCCAGCGCAGGGAGGGGACCCATTGGGCCCTGGAGGAGCAGCTACAGAGCAGAGCCTGGTCCTGCCAGGAGCAGGAGGGTCCCAGCAGCTGCGGATGTTCTGTGGGGAGTGAGGGGAAGGGTCAGCGGTGCCTCTAACATCTCCAGACACTGAGGCAACCTACTCCTAAGTGTGCCCTCCCCCCTGCCCCATCCCTACCCGTCTCAGTCCACTCCCCACTCACAGAACACGGAGAGGTTGAGAGAGACACTGTGGGAGCCCAGCGGGTGCCGAGCTTGGCAGGTAGGAAGGAGGGGTTCTCTCTTTCTGGTCCCCTCCCCACCTACAAGGAGATCCATGCCCGAGTGTTCTCAAGTTAGCTCAGCCTCCTACACACACACACACACACACACACACACACACACACACACACCGCTCCCACTGTCCCCATGGACACAGCCACCCCTCCACACTCACAGGAGACATTGAGCCAGATGGTTCTCTGTGTGGTCAACTGAGGCCATTCCCGTTTCACCTGACAGGTGAGGTTGGTGCCATGGTCCCGGGGCCTCGGGGTGAAGGTGAGCACCGAGGAGCCGAGGGTCTGGGGGTCCAGCGAGTCCACAGCCGCTCCCGCCCAGGAGAAGGTGAGAGGTCGTCCCCCTTCGCAGGCCCCTGGCAGGCTGCAGGCCAGCTGTGTGGGGCGGCCGGACTCCAGAGGATCCCGTACATGGATGTGGGGTTTCTCTGTCAGGGCTGAAGGGGAGAAAGGCAGGTGCCTGGGCTCCAGGGGTGGGGACTCAGAGCGGGACCCTGAGAGAGGCCCTGCCTCGGGCTGAGCTCACCCAGGCCCTGTGTCTCTTCCCACCACCCAGGGCCCAAGGCCTTGCGGGGGAGAAAGGCAGGTGCCTGGTCTCCAGGGGGTGGGGACCCAAAGTGTGATCCTGAGTGGGACTCGTGCCTCAGGGCCCCTGAGCTCCCCAGGCCCTGTGATTTTCCAACCAACCAGGGCTCAAGGCCTGGACAGGGAGTGTCCAGTGTCCTGTTCCTGCTCTAAGACGGGGTCCCATGTCCCTGGGTCCTTTCCTGGGCCCCTGCCGTACCTGCCACCTGCAAATCCAGCATTTTATCTTGGTAACTATAGCCTTGGGACTTATATCCTTGGAAATGTCCTTGGTAATTATATACAGGATATTCTATCTCCACTCGGAAAAAGTAGCGTCCTGTGTCACTCCTCCTGGCGTCTCTTATGTGCAGGGAACAGTCGTTGGTCCTGGGGTCCGGGAGGAGGAATCGGACTTGGGTCTCTCTCTTCACTGGTTTATTATAGTTGCTCGAGGCCACAGGAGCATCATAGGCTGTGTTGTCCCCGTCCCGGTACCAGTAGGTGTAGAATTTGCTAGAGGAAGACCACGAACTCCTCGGGTAGGAGAAGGAGCAGGGCACGTGGACACACAGACCCTCAAACACTGTCACCGATTCCTGCACTCGGAGCTCATAGCCTGGAGGCTGCTGCAGGGACCCTGGGAGGGGGACAGAGCCTCAGCGGCAGCCCCTGCTGATCCCCCACCTGCCCAGCCCCCCTCCCTCAGCCACTCACCCCCCCACAGCAGGGGCAGCAGCAGCAGGGGCACCATGTCTGCCTCTGGCAGGGCAGAGCGGGTCCAGGTCCCTGTGTCAGGGAGGGAAGTGCCCAGCTCTGGGGTGGGGCCTAGGACACCCCAACAGGAAGCCTTGGGGGAGAGACTGTGGTCAGGCTGGAAGGGGAACTTGGCCTCCACAGGACGTGGGGGGTGGTGGCTGAGATATCATCCTGTCTCCCTCCCCCTCCTACCCAACCCTGCCGGTGGATATGCTGAGACCCTCAGAGGTTGAGAGGCATGTCCAGATGTGAATCTGAAAGTAATCACCTTGCAGATGATGTGTAAGTCGGGGGGAGGTCACCCAGGGGGCCACTGGGGTCAGAGCTGGACTTGGGGGAGACCCACCCTTAGGCTGAAACCACTGATCGGTCTAGACTTTACATTTTCTTTAGACAACTCAAGTGCTGGCAAGAGAAAAAGCAATTTAGACTCAACTCCAGTTGGGGGATGGAACCCCAGCAAAAACTTGAGCATTCAAGCCTTTTGCTCTGAGAGCTTTGTGGGGACATGGGAGGAACACGTGTGGGTCTTCCAGGGTCTGAGGGACCTGGGACAGTGACAGCACACAGGCCCCATCAGAGGGTGTGTAAAAGGAGATCTCGCCCCATTTGGAGGGGCCCACAGGTGGGGCCTCAGCACAGCAGCAAATTCACCACCTACAGCTCAGGAAGCTCCACCTTCAGTCCCCTCACGTGCTCCATCCCTTTTCAAAGCCCAGCAGGGGCTCTAGTGATGTGTGGACATAACCTGAAATCCTACTACTCTTTTATGAAAGAAAGAAACTTGATCAATGTTTTCCGCCCCTCCCATGCTCCATCCCTTTTAAAAGCCCAGCAGGGGCCCGAGTGATGTGTGGACATAACCTGCAATCTTACTGCTCTTTTATGAAAGAAACTTGATCAATGTTTTCCCAAATATGGCAGTGATGTGAAACTTCAGACATTCCCAGTAACAAATTGTGTGATTAAAAGAAACATTCCTTTAGTTGTACAGGAGAAAAAGAAATGTCAATCATCCATGCTGAAGGGAACACTGAGTTCTCTCTCTATTCTCTGTATTATCTATATATATAAAAGGCTAATATGCAAGGTGTTCCCTTGGAAGTTTGACCAGGAGACTGGGAGTTCGATTGCTCATTGGAACGTGCACTGACCACCAGGGGGCGGTGTGGAACAAAGGAAGGCCCTGGCTGGCAGCTGGAAGGCCCCAATTGGCCCTGATCACTGCCAGGCCTAGGGACCCTACACATGCCCAAATTTCGTGCACCAGGTCTCTAGTATAAATATAATATTCTAGTAATTAATACCTAATATAATATTAACATTTATTACTATGTGACAGAATTAATCTCCTATAAAGAGGCAATCAAAGGGTATCAGCTAAACTGTGGAGCTTGGCCAGGTGGCACAGTTGGCTGGAGCATCATGCCTTACACCAGAAAGTTGTAGGTTAAATTTCTGGTCACGGCACATACCTAAGTTGCAGGTCCCATCCCATTTTTGCCTTTGTGACTTGATGTAATATGTTTTCTCGTGTTAGAAAAATCCATGTGTAGCAGATTTTGTATTTTTTGAAGCAATAATCTTGACATCTATGTCAATATCAGGCTCCACAAACCTGAGTTTGCCCCTGCCTTGGGTGCAGGTGAAAAAGAAGGAACCAGCTCCCCCCACCACCTATCTGGACTCCTCGCATATTACAATGAAGATTGTCTAGTGCAGTGGTCGGCAAGGGGAGACTGGGAGTTTGATTGCTCACAATGATGTGTGCTGACCACCAGGGGGCGGTGTGGAATGAAGGAAGGCCCCAGCTGGCAGCTGGAAGACCCTAATTAGCCCTGAGCCCCACCAGGCCTAGGGACCCTACCCATGAATGAATTTTGTGTGCTGAGCCTCTAGTATAAATATAATTTTCTAGTAATTAATACTTAATATAATATTAACATTTATTACTACATGACAGAATTAATCTCCTATAAAGAGTCAATCAAAAAGTATCAGTTAAAAACTGTGGAGCCTGGCCAGGTGTCTCAGTTGGATGGAGCGTCATCCCTTACACCAGAAAGTTGTGGATTTAATTCCCAGTCACAGCACATACCTAGGTTGTAGGTCCCATCTTCTGTATGGGCATGTAGGAGGCCACCAATTGATGTTTCTCTCTCACAAAGTGCTCTCTCTCTCTCTCTCTCTCTCCTCCCTTCCTTACTCTCTAAAATCAATAAACATGTCCTCAATTGAGGATTTAAAAAATTGTAGAGAACACGCCTTATGCCGGTGTGCCGGACAGGTACGTCACACGGCTAAGAAAAATAGTCTGTACTTTTTTTCATTTGTCTTATATTTTGAGCTTAAACATTTTTGCCTTTTTGACTTGATGTAATATGTTTTCTCATGTTAGAAAAATCCATGTGTAGCAGATTTTGTATTTTTTTGAAGCAATAATCTTGACATCTATGTCAATATCAGGCTCCACAAACCTGAGTTTGCCCCTGCCTTGGGGGCAGGTGAAAAAGAAGGAACCAGCTCCCCCCACCACCTATCTGGACTCCTCGCATATTACAATGAAGATTGTCTAGTGCAGTGGTCGGCAAACTCATTAGTCAACAGAGCCAAATATCAACAGTACAATGATAGAGATTTCTTTTGAGAGCCAAATTTTTTAAACTTAAACTATATAGATAGGTACATTGTTATTAACTTAATTAGGGTGCTCCTAAGCTGGCCTTTGCTAAAAACGTCCTCAGTCTGATCGAGGTACGTTCGCTGAGGTCGACCCCTTCCAACTCTCCCATCCTCAACTCGTGCTTGAATCGCACGCGCCTCCCCCAAGGCGCTGCGTTTCCCCAGGCGCTGCGTCTCCTGTCGCTCGACCGACCGACCAAACCCTCCACTTCTTCTAATGCCACTTCTTCAAAATAGACTCGCCCAGGCCGAAAACCGACTTCTGCGCATGGGGCACAAAGTTTCAATCGCACTGTACGTGCGGGCCCACACATGGTATTTTGTGGAAGAGCCACATTCAAGGGGCCAAAGAGCCGCATGTGGCTCGCAAGCTGCGGTTTGCCTACCACTGGTCTAGTGCAAGCAGAGACCTAAAGAAAAGCATGATTTCCATGGTTGTACCCTCACAATTCCTATCACTGAGAGGTCTAGCAAATCTCAAGCTGGGAAATAAAACAGACAAGAAATAATAGCCCTAACCGTTTTGGCTCAGTGGATAGAGCGTCAGCCTGTGGACTGAAGGGTCCTAGGTTCGATTCCGGTCAAGGGCATGTACCTTGGTTGCAGGCACATCCTCAGTAGGGGGTGTGCAGGAGGCAGCTGATTGATGTTTCTCTCTCATCGATGTTTCTAACTCTCTATCCTTCTCCCTTCCTCTCTGTAAAAATAATCAATAAAATAAAATGTAAAAAAAGAAAAGAAATAATAAGTGTTGGCAAGAATGTTCAGAAAGGGGAACCCTCTTGCACTGTTGCTGGGAATGTAAATTGGGGCAGCCACTATGTAAATCAGTATGACAGGCAGTTCCTCAAAAATTATAAATAAAGCTGCCACATGACCCAGCAACACCACTTCTGGGTATTTATTTAGAGGAAATAAAAACACTAACTTGAAAAGACACATGCATCTCTATGTTCATTGCAGCAGCACCTACAATATGTGGAAGCAACCTAAGTGCCCATCAATCAATGAATGTACAAAGAAAATGTGCTATATATACAGTGGAATATTATTGTGCTATAAAAAGAAGGACTTCACGCCATTTGGGTCAACATAGATGGACCACGAGGGCATTGTACTAAGTGAAGTAAATCAGAAAGAGAAAGACAAGTACAGTATGGTCTTACTTATATGTAGAAACATTGAAAAAATCAAACTCAGAGATACAGTGAACTGATTGATTGTTACTGGAGGCAGAGCCTGTGGGTTGGGCAAAATGAATGAGTGTGGTCAATGGTACAAACCTCCAGTTATGAAATAATTAAATCATAAGTATGTGATGTACAGCACGGTGACTGTAGTTAATAATAGTGGGTACTGCCCCGCTGGTGTGGTTCATTGGTTAAGCATCAACCTATGAACTAGGAGGTCATAGTTTGATTCCCGGTCAGGACACATGCCCAGGTTGTGGGCTCGATCCCCAGTAGGGGGCTTGCAGGAGGTAGCCAATCAATGATTCTCATCACTGATGTTTCTATCTCTCCCTCTCACTTCCTCTTTGAAATAAATGAAAATATTTTTAAAAATAATAATAATAATAGTGGATATTAATACTATTAGCTATAATATTGCAGTTAATAGTACTGTGTCGTATATTTGAAAATTGCTAAGAGAGTATATTGCTAAGAGAGATGTACATAAAAATATAATATGCCCTTTCTCAATGAAGGAAATTATAAATCTGTTTAGGAGGACATTAAAGATGCCAATAAATAGACAATATGCATGTTAATGGGTATGACAACAATCTATATATATACTTCCTCTTTGAAATAAATAAAAATATTTTTTAAAATAATAATAGTGGGTATTAATACTATTAGCTATAATAATGCAGTTAATAATACTGTGTTGTATATTTGAAAATTGCTAAGAGAGATGTACATAAAAATATAATATGCCCTTTCTCAATGAAGGAAATTATAAATCTGTTTAGGAGGACATTAAAGATGCAAATAAATAGACAATATGCATGTTAATGGGTATGACAACAATCTATATATATATATATAAAAGCCAAGCGACCAGAACTGGAACAATCGGTTGCTATGAGGCGCACTAAAGTGGCCAACCAGCCCGAGGGGGGCCCCAATTGGCCCCCCAAACCTCCCATAGCCCCTCCCCCTGGCCAGCCCCATCCCCAATTGTCCCCCCACCCTGATTGGGGATGGGGCTGGCGGCCAAACTCCCACATCC